AGTCTGACCTCAGTTTGGATGTGAATACCTGTCAGTAGGTTTTTGCCCTTATAATTTCAGAGGCAAAAAGTAATGATTCTAGATTATTCATAGATTTCCAATGTTATGCACAGTTAGCAATTCATAGTTTTTAGCCGGAAAATAAAAGGTGAGTTTAACCCCCTTTATCATTTCTTTGTAATGCCTTTGGCCATCTCTTTGGATTTCACTAGGTTTCTTTTGGACTTTGTGTCTTAATACAGTTCCTTAAATTTGAACACACATTAGAATCAACTGGAAGTCTCTATCCTAGAGTTTCTGCTTCAGTAGGGCTGGGGAGGACTTACTCAGAATTTGTTTCTCTATCAAGTTCCTAGGTGGTGTGGATGCTACTGATCTGTGGCACACACTGTGATAACTGCTGGTCCCTTGGGAATTTTTTTAAATTTGTTTTAATTAGTTACATATGACAATTGAATGCATTTTGACATATCATACATAAATGGAGTATAACTTCTCAAATCTTCTTGTTGTACATGATGTAGGATTACACTGTTCATGTAATCACATATGCACATAGTGTCATAAGGTCTGATTCATTCTATTATCTTTCCTACCCCTATACCCCATCCTGTCCCTTGACTCCCCCTATCTAATCCAAAGGACCTCTATTCTTCCCTAGCCCCAAGTCCCCTTATTGTGAATTAGCATCCACATATCAGAGAAAACATTTGGCCTTTGATTTTTTGGGATTGGCTTATTTCCGTTAGCATGATATTCTCTAGCTCCACCCATTTAGTGGCAAATGCAATAATTTCTAACTTCTTTAAGGCTGAATAATATTCAATTGTGTTTATGTACCAGATTTTCTTTATCCATTCATCTGTTGAAGAGCACCTAGGTTGGTTCCACAGTTTAGCTATTGTAAATTGACCTGCTATAAACATTGATGTGGTCCAGTGGGAATTTAAGATCAGTTTCAGTCTGGGTTCATCGGGGGACTATATTGATGTGCTTTCTGGTGACCTGGCTTCTCAGTGTCCTCTTGTCTTGCCAGCCTGTCCAGGTGAAGGCCACATGTGCTAGGGGAGTAGATATCCTTTTTCACCCTCTGCCATCTGTCCTTAAGCTTGGAAGTAGCTCACACAGATGCAGAAGCAGCCATGTTTGCTCCTGACCTGAATCTTTATTGGTTTGAGCATGTGATTTGGACATCCAGAGTCTTTCAGTGGTTGGATGATTAACTGGGAGTAGCCACTGGGAGGGCATTAGTTGATTTGGGTTCTATTTCTGAGTGGACTTCAAACTCCTTGCGTGACCTTGGGCAGGCCTCTTAGTCCTCAACATGCGATTTTGACTCCTTGTATTTATAAAACATACCTTTCTGCCTCCTCATTAATAAAATAGGAGAAAAACAAAAACCCAGGTCTGGTGAGTTGCCTCCAGGGGATTTATAAGCTGATGTGCAGAACTCTGAGTGCCTGAGGAGAAAGCTGCTATGTAAACACAATATATTATTAATAAGCCATAAAAAATAGCATCACACCCTCTGCTATTAATAGCTGCTTCGGGCTGTCAGAGTGGCTGGGTCCTAAGACACAGGCTCCAGCAGTGTTGAAGGAGGGGCCACTGTGGTTTTTGAGTTTGTAACACATTTAAAAGAAATTGACAGTGAGTTCTTAAAACATTTTTGGGCATTTTCATAGGTGTCTTGGTGAAGAAAATAATGATTAAAGTTCTGTGAAACTCAAGACTAATAAACCAGATCACACATTTCTTTTGACTTTTGTTATATTTCAGAATTACTTTACAGTGTGGGCTACTCCATGTGCAATTGACTGAAGTGTTATGAGTCTCTTTCTTCCTAACAGTTGATGCCCCTTAGAATCTATAGGGAGTAACTTACATATCAGTTAGTGATTAATTAATCCATTGATGTTTATATCCACTCTACAGATATATTTGAGACATCCTGCTACATGCTACTATAGATATTAGGAAATAAAAATGCGTTTTTAAATGTCCATTTTTAAATTTTATTTAAAAATTTTTTTTGACCTAAGGAATTTGTAGTGTAGCTTTGATTAACAATAAGTAAGCAAGAAATTATGTATCGAGGCTCTTGCTGTATTTAAACTTGTCTTAAGCATATATACTTAAGTAATGTAATGAAATTAAAATATACATATGCTTTAACTAATATACATATATTAAGTAATTTAATAAAATGAAAACCCACTTTTTGTGCATGATCAAGCCATGCCTGCAGTGATCTCATAGAAGTAGATTTCCTGTGCTTCACTGTTCTCTGTCCAGAAGAAGCAGAGGCTATTTGTTTCCTTTTTCTCCCAGGAGAATGGAGAAGAGGATATAGTGGACAAATTACCTGGAGAAGGTCTAGCTGTCTTACTTGTTTCTCAGCGAGAAAAAGCTAATCAGTAAACACATGTTCTGTGGAGCCTGGGGCCTGGAAAGGCCATGAGACCAGTCTTTCCCTCCTTGCCAGCTTGAGTGACCACTCTCTCCCTGCCTCAGTTCCAGGGAGTTATGGGCTTTGCCTCATAGAAAAAGCTCCCTAGGGACAGGGCTTCACTTGGGTCTGGGCCTTGCATTAGAATTAGATTAAAATTAAACTAGGCCAGTACACATTAGAATTGCCTGGAAGCTTTTATAAAAAATGCAGAGGTCTAGGTTTACCCTAGAGAGTCTGATAAAATCGAACTGGGGTGTTTGTCAGGTAGGAAAAAAAAAAAAAAAGTTCCCTGGAAGAGTGCAGTGGCTGGGAGGTGCTTAGTTTGTGATTGAATTTACCTAAAAAGGAGTCTTTTCCAGGCACCCAGGAGTTTTGTGAATGGAGGAAAAAAGCCCCATTACAAAACTGACCTCTTGCTCTTGCAAGACTTCTGTTTCTATTTTTCACTTGAATAAATCCTACTTTTTTTTTTCACTCTTGGAAAAACAAATGAAAATTTTGCAGACTGCTGATGTAGCTCAGTGGTACAGCACTAGCTTACACATGCAAGGCCCTGGGTTCTTTTCCTTGTAACCCGTCCCCCCCAAAACAAACAAACAAACAAACAAACCTTATGTTGGAGGCCTAATTGACTTCAGTCTTTTTGTCTATACTGGGACCCCTTCCAGCCCCTTTGCTCTCAGGTATAAATGGTTATTCCAAGCACTGAGTACAGCTGGCCATCTTCCAAGGAGGTGCTTGGTATTTGCTTCAAACTGATCCTGAAACTCTGGGAATCCCTGCCTTTGTTCCAGTCCCTAGTTACTAAAGGACCCTACAGTAAGGGCCTGAGAGCACTTGGTCACCTGCCCCAGGTGCACCATCTCAACTGAGCTGGTCAGCCATGGCAATGAGTTTTTACTGCCCACATTCTCTTTTCTCCCTCTCGAGCATATGTTTTTCTGTGGGGGCTCATTACAAGAATGCATGGCACTGGTGGTGACTCATCCATTTGCTCAAATCTCCACCAAGATCCTAGCCCATTCATTACCTTTTCCTCTATCTATGTGTTCATTTTGTGTGTGTTTTTGCTCCAGCCTGCAATGATTCATTCTTTGTCTTTGAAAGGATAAAACCTACCACTAGAGGGTGGGTAAGAAGACTCCATGCTGTGGGTTCACCTGCTTGTATTCCTCACTTCTAAATTAGGGGGATTGTATCTATCCACAGGTTTATTAGGATTGTACGTAGGTTCCACTTCAAAATTAGGTGAACAGTTTGGGAATGTGCTGTTAGTCTAGAAGATGGAATCCAAGAAGAATAATGAAAAAACATTTTTTTAAAAGATATATTTTTAGTTGTCAATGGACCTTGATTTTCTAATTTATTTATCTATATGTGGTGCTGAGAATTGAACTCAGGGCCTCACACATGCTAGGCAAGCGCTCTATCACTGAGCCACAACCCCAGCCCTGAAAATTGATTCTATTTGCTACCTGGTGGAAGAGGCTTCCAAATGATGGAGGTACCACGTTGGGATAGGAATGATCTAAAACTAATTGTAGTTGTCCTTGTATTCTTCCTCTCCATTTTGGTATTTTGACCCTTGTATTAGGATTAGCATTTCCTCTTGTTTACTTTCATTTTCTGTCTCCTGAGATTTGTTGTATCTGTATTGCCAGATTCTGTCAAGAACCCCATAGATTTTCTTATCAGTCCTCTTCCCCCGACCTTCCCAGTTGTGTATCATCTACTATTATCATTGGCCTCATCTTAACTTGCTCCTGTCTCCTCCTGTGCTGGGTATTTTGCTTGACCTCATCCTTTCTTCTATTTTTCCTTTTATTTTTCCTTCTCTCTTTCTTGTCGTCCTCTCTGTCCTCTCCTTCCTGTCCTCCTTTCCTTCCTCTCTCTTACCATAAACACTCTGTCTTTTGTAATTATCAAATCATTCCTCCTTCTTTCGGCTGGGAAAATCCAAAGGTTTGTATTTTATTGAGTCATATCCAGAAGAGGCATCGGGAGCTGACTTCCTTTGTCTCAGCTATTATCATCAACAGTTTACTTCATCATTTCGTTTCATCTTCAGGAAGGACATGTTATTCCTATACAAAAGGTGAGAAAATACAAGCTAAAAAGAGTTTTAGTTCCTTGACCAAGAACCTGCAACAAGTTAAATGGCAGAGCTTGGGATGTCCCATGCCAGTCTCCACTCTGTTATTAAACTCTTCACCCTTTAGCCTTAGCAGGATTGAAGCAGCAAGTTTGCCAGGCAAGGGAGAAGGCTTTCATGACACTTTTATGGTAGACCCTTCCATTGCCAGCATTCATGGAGTACTGCAAGGTGATGTAGGATGGTGAACCCCTTACCTGTGAGGTTGCCTTTGTTGATAAAATCCTGAACTGTATTCTCCCAGAGTAACTTGGTGTCAATCCTGGGACTGGGGGGTGCAGTGAATTATGGCAAATATCACTTTTCAGATGGTGTGCTCCTCGTAGTCAACTGTGCCAACTCTTCAGCAGTATGGAGTTCTCCCAGTTAAGACTCTCAATGTTTTGTTTTTTGCAGAGCCTGTGTCATCTTGGGGGTGATATTCCTTCTGTCATCCATATGTATAGTGGTCAAAGCCATCCATGACCTCTCAACTAGGCTGCTCCCAGAAGTGGTAAGGTCCTTCTTCTTCCTTAACAGTCTTCCCCAGCAGTACCAGCTCCTCTGCTGCCTCTCACCACAGATTTCCTGGTGGGGGTTGGCAGGTTCAGAGAGAATGTACAACATTTTGGGGGGTCTGGAAGAACTCGTTGCAGGCATGCAAATGAGTTGGCAGAGCAAAGCACTGGGCAGGAGGAAGAAACTCCAAATAATTGAGCTGGTACTGGGTCTATGTTCTTCTCCTTAGGTCTTCTGATTACTTGTAAAATAAGATGTCTTTGTTTTAATAAAGAAAAATTGGGTTATTTTGTGTAGCACAGTGATCCAATCTGTACTGTTTATATCTGTTGTTCTGTATTCATTCAATGATTTCTGTAATAAGAATTATTTATTTTTTTCCTTTGCACTTCAATTCAATACATAAATCTATTTACGTGAGTTTTTCTAGCACAGCTGATATTTGAATAGAGAAACTGGAGGATACAATTTCATATTTAAATGTGTCTTGACTGCTTTGTCCTCTAGGTGAGAGTCATTACCCAAGCTCTTGACATTTTTTCCTTCTCCCCTTTTGAATGCTAAGAAAAGAAATATTTTTAGAGTCTTCTATCAGGCAATATTCATAGAAGGCAACTGATTTGGTTTCCAGGAGATGAAGATGCTGCCATTACAATAATTCTCTGTGTACAAGTTCAAAGCAATTTGAATGCAAAATACATCTCTTTCCTCAGGATGTGATTTGATTTGAACTTGGCCACTTGTACCATCTTATATGAGGCCCAGACAGACATTTATTTCACTTTTGGAAGAACATGCTAATCCTTTTGGGGTGATCTATTGCATTTGTGGGTGTGTGTATACATGTGTGTTGATGGGGATGGTGTAAATGAAGCAGGAAAATTCTATTGGATTCAGTAGAGACACTGACATGGCTGCATTCAGTTATTGTCTTCCTCCTTCTCAGGCTGAGATAACAGCCATCCCTTTTAACTATTATTCATTACCACAGTTGGCCCAAGGCTTATTCTCTAATAACTCAGTGACAGGGAGGAAAGATGGATGCCAGGGTAGGAATGCACACTTAGGGTAGTCAGTCTTTTTCAGAAGCAGAACTGGCTCAGGGAGATATTAGTGTTTATTATACTCCTGTGCTCTTCACCTCCTAATTAGTGAATTCTCTCACTCTGATCTTCTGGTTGCCCAGGGCCTTGGACTTTTCCATCTTTTTCCTCTATCAAGCTTGTTATCCCATTTTCCAGTCTTTCTGAATCTAAGTTATGAAGTCACTGAGGGTAACTTTACATGTTGAATGACTGATAACATTTTTGCATTTTTCAGGGCAGGGAAATATGCTTCAACTTTAAGAAATGTTTATAGGTGGAAATTTTCAGCATTAACCAGTCAGCACATTCATTTGCTTAGGCATTAAAAGTCAGTTTCCAGCAGGGCTAACTTGATATGGGATGGATGACTGTGTTCACAGCTCTTGTAGAGGGCCTCTTTGTGTTTTTCTTGGTAGCTGAACCATTATTTCATAGGGAACAGTCTCTCATTATCCCATGTGTACAACTCTTCTTTGTGGGGGCAGGTACTGGGGATTGAACTATGGGGTGCCCAACCAGTGAGCCATATCCCCAGCCCTATTTTGTATTTTGTTAGAGACAGAGTCTCACTGAATTGCTTAACACCTTTCTGTTGCTGAGGCTGGCTTTGAACTCGTGATCCTCCTGCCTCAGCCTCCTGTCCTACTGGGATTACAGATATGTACCACAGTGCCAGGACCATGTGTGTACTCTTAAGCAAAGCTAACCAACTTAAATTCCATGTCATGGTAGAAATATCTACAGTGATGCCCTGCTCCAGGTAGAGTTCACAGTGGGTGAAGAGCTCCATGGTTGTGCCCAAATGAATCCTTTCTTGGGGAACCCATACTTACTGCAGTGTTTTATACATTATGAACATGATATATATATATATATATATATATATATATATGTGTGTGTGTATACATATATACATTTATATGCATATATATATATGTGTGTGTGTGTATACATATATACATTTATATGCATATATATGTATATATATACATTTATATATACACATATATATACATATATATTTATACATATATATATATGCATATATATGTATATATACACATATATGCATATAAATGTATATATGTATATATACATACATTTATGTGTGTGTATATATACACATATATATTATTTCATTTATAAATTATATACATATACATTTGTTTATTTGATCCTTCAGCATTATAAACAGTTAAAAAAAGGGGCTTTCAAACTGCACAAGCTCCCTCCTGCATAGCGGGAGACCTCCTATTTGAGTGGACACAGGGACCATATAAAATGCAGGTCATGGCCAAAGGTTTTTCAATACCAGGTCTTCTGACTTCTTTGCTCTGTGCAAGAAGCTTCTGGATGCCAATAGGCTATCAACAAGCCCCCAACCTCTGGCCTACAGTAAATCAGAGTGAGCATTTATCCATAATGCTTTATGTAAATTAAGATTCATACACTCAGATACTGCCGAAGCCAGTCCTGAAACAAGAACAGGAGAAGCCAACCAGATCTGTAGCTACCAGAGAAATGAAGTTTCTGTCTTCCCCCTGAGTTTTTATATCAGAATATGGGCCAGTGTTGTCAGGTCTAGCAGCAAGGTTTGCGGAAAAAAATAGAAACCTGTGTCTACTGTGAAATAAATTGGCAACTAATTAAAAAAATAAAAATGAAAACCCTGCCTGGGAGTGGGAGGATAATTTCATGCAGGTCAAATAAAACATTGCTCTTGCCTGAATGCAGGGAGTTTGCTACTTCTCGTGGATGCCAGGCTGTAAGTAGGATCTGGAAGAAGCCAGGCTTCAGGGTCTTAGGGCCTTAATGTCATGAACTCCCTTCCCAGTTATACCTGTGGCCTCTGCCCCGGCTGTGGAGCTGCAGTTTTACATTTGATTTCTATTTAGTCTGAAGCCATGTTTTCCCTCCCATAACCCTGTTCCCTGGGCTGCTTTCTTTTTAATTCAGCTGCACAATTTTCTGAGAGTAAATGGAAGAATGGGTCAGTTTTGAATAAGAGAGCTGTGCAGTTGGGAATTACCCAACCATGAAGTCAGCTGGCTCTGAGCCTCTGTGGCGTTGACAGCCATGCCAGCCCCTCAGGGCTTTGCTGGGGGAGGAATCAGGTCATCCTGGCTCTCTGGGGAACCTCAAACCAGACTCTGGGGAATCAGCTGCGAGCCTTCATAAGCAAGTAAGATAAGCCTTACCGCCTGCAGTCAGTGCCTTGTTTGGTTAATGGAAAAGATTCCAAAAGAGCCGCTTCTGAAAATGCCCAGATTGTAGTTCTTCTGGAAGTCGGAAGTTGGGCAGTACTGTGATAGAGTAGTCAATACTTGCCTTATGTTAATGGATTCCTATTTATTTATTTATAGCACGAAAGAGAACAACTTCTAAACAAAAATGAGCAAAATGAGCAGGTACCCTCTGACTGCCTTACCTACTGCACCTTATTTATTTCATTTATTTATTGACAAGTAAAACTTGTTGCATAACATGCTGTTTTGATGAGTCTAGGTTGTGGATGTCTAATACGGATTGCTTTAAAAGAAACATGGTGCTCTTCCTGTTTTTACCTCGATACTGCCTTGTTTTCATAAGAACTGGCAGGTGGTTATGCTTCTCCTTTTTTCTAGCACACAGGCTCTGAAAGCTGAAGTGATCTTTCTGAGGTTATCAGCTGACTGGCAGCAGTCTGGATTTGAACCCTGTTCCAGGGCTGTCTTGGCTCCTGGTACTTTTGGGGTCCTGGTCCTCCTGTCTGATCTCTTCCTCCTTATGCTCCCAGAGGGCCATGCTGCCAAGGGCTATGCTACAGGGAGGGTGCCTAGGCCCCTAGCTATACTTTTCATGTCTTTCTGGCTATTCTTGCCACCCCTGCCCCTTACCCCACAGCACCACCCCTTGCACTCTAGACCACTGACCAGGGCACCTCTGTTACCTTGTCTCTTAAAAGACCCACTTAGGGTGAACCAAGAAGTCTTAGAACATTCAGCAGGACAAGTATGGAACAGGGGGCCATAGGAAACTTGGACCCTGTGGAAGGCACAGCCAGCAGGGCTGCTGAGACCCTGTCCAGGTGTGACTCTCCTCTCTGCTTTTCCCCTGTTTACTGTATGATCACAGGCATATCACATGCCCTCCATGAACCTTCGTTTCCTTATGTTTAACATAATACTTAGGTTAGAGATTTATAATAAGGATCAGATGAGCAATTAAAAATAACTGCCACTGGGAGACATTTCTTCTGTAATTGGCTCTTCAGGTTCTGCTTTTTGAGGTTTCTGAATTGCTAATCAAAGTTACCCTAACTTTTGAGATCTGTGGTAATTTCAGGCTGGGCCTCTCAGTCCCTTTTTCTTGTCTCCTGGTCTTCCTCTTACTCAGGACTCCACACTGTCCAATGGCAGCTATTGTGATGCTTGACTTTGGTGAACCCCTGACCCTTGGGAATCTTGCTCTGGTTTCCTGGATGGGTTGATAGGTGCTCTCCTGCAGTCTTCAGGTGGCCATAGCTAACTCTGGGCCACATTCACAGAACATAGAATGCACTATCAGAATACCTGATTGTGAAACCTAACCAACCACTCCTTAGCTGGGTGACTTTTAGGAAACCATTTCTCCTCTGTAAGAATCATTTCCTCATTTGTTAAATAGGTATAGTACCACCAACGTCACAGCAGAGATTGTAGAAAGCAAATGACATAATGAATGTGGAATTGCCTTATAAACTGTCACATGCTTTGCACAGGAAGGAGATAGTAGTATTTGATTCCAAGGCTCTAGAATCCCAGTTGTTACTTGTGAGCTCACTGTCCTGATCTGTGACCACCCTGTTATCTTCTTCTGCCTTTGGAGGACCATGACTTCTTTGCCTTGAGCTCTTGGCCAGTGTCTGGGCCCAACCTCCTGAAGTGGTCAT